TTCAATTGAACGATTTAGGCTGTAAAGAACCGGTTTTCCGGTTAAACGCTGACATGGACTGCCATGTGTTTTCTTAATATTTTCTATATTTTTTTTCATATCTATTTTGTCTTTACTTTTTCCTTTCCCTTTTCTATTTTTTTCCTTTTTCTTTCTCGCTTCCTGTGTCTTTCTTCTTCCTGAGTTCCTTCTAACTCAGTCGCCACCTGTATCAGACATTTCACTATGTCTATCTTCTTCTCTATCAACCATTTTATTGTTTGTCGAGCTCGCCTACATTACTGATGCACATGTTAAAAGGCGCGGCGGGATGATGGTCAGACGGTAGGTATCCAGCAAGATCTAGCAAGGAATTGGAGGGAGCCATCAGAAGGGGTATGTGGATGGAGTCCGGAAGAAGAAACAGCTGGACAGTGATTTCCAGCAAGGAAGGGGCGGTCAGACGGTAGATATTTGACATTGAGGGATGGGTAGGTGGCGATGAGTTCACCGGAGTCCACAGGGTGCTCTGATCTTCAATCCGGACTCACCGGAGACCACAACAGTGCCAGCCGCTGCCGGATTTGCATTTTCTGCTACCTCCCATCAATGCCAGCCGCTGCCGGAAGTTCACAATCTTCTCCGGAAGGGGTCAATGCTTCTTTCGCTGGAAGATGCCAAAGCTTCATTTGCAGAAGGGAACATGCCAGCTTACAAGCAAGAGAAAAAGAAAGGAAAAAATGAGAAAAAACATTACTTTAACGCGGGCTGCCACTCGGGCAGGTAACCGGGAAACCCCTGGTTTACCTCGTAAATCGTTGAATTGAGCATTGTTTTAAGAGTTCAAGGATTCAATTGAGTCTTTCTAAAGTATGAGAATCTAATTGACTTTTTTTATATAGTACGCGGACCTACTTGATAGTTTTCTCCATCAGTTTCATTAGCAAACATATGTAAAGTGTGGATTGAGCGGGATTGACAATATATGATTTAGTAACGATTAGCTGGATATTTGTTTTACCATGGTTTATTATTTCTTGTATACAGGCGACTCAAGTAGACTAATAACTGGAAGTGCTGACCAAACAGCCAAGCTCTGGGATGTTAAGACTGGCACTGAGCAGTTCACATTCAAATTTGACTCACCATGTAGGTCTGTTGACTTTTCTGTTGGTGATAAGCTTGCAGTTATTACCACTGATCCATTCATGGAGCTTCCTTCTGCTATCCATGTAAAACGAATTGCTAGAGATCCTGATGATCGTAAGTTTCTGCAGTTGTGATTTTCTTTTTTTAAGAGACTGTTGGGATAAGATATGGTATACATGCTTTTATCACAAGTGCTTTCCCATTTTTAGCTCTTCAGAGTATTTTATGAAAAACACCAAGCTGTTGCTTTGTTGAATAAGGCATTAGAGGTGCTTATTTCACCGTTAATAGCCACTTTTCCATTTTCTTCCCAAACTCTTTCTTTGGAAGTTTAAATACTTTTCTTCCTCTAAAATGAACTTTTTCCTTCATATGTAGTTATCCCAAATGCTCTCCAAGTATCAGATATGGGAGGGTTATATTATTATAAACTGAGGTACTGTTTTTCAAATGAGATGAATTCAATACTATTTCAGAAACTAGTGAGTCTGCGCTGATCCTTAAGGGCCCCCAGAAAAGGATCAATAGAGCTGTTTGGGGACCTTTGAATAAAACTATTATAAGTGGTGGTGAAGATTCTGTTCTTCGTATCTGGGATACTGAGGTATGTTCATATATTTTGTTTTGTGAGTAACTTGTGATGCCTAATATAGTTTATTTCTTTACTTGAAGCCTGAAGTTATGACCATTTAAAAAAATTGGTAGACAGGGAAATTACTCAAGGAATCTGATAAAGAATCTGGTCATACAAAGGGGATCACTTCTCTTGCAAAATCCGTAGATGGTTCGCACTTTATAACTGGTTCATTAGATAAATCAGCAAAGGTAACTTGTCTGTCAACCTTGTTGACATGTGTTTTTATTTCCGTTGCCCAGGCTTTTATGTCATTCCTGGAACATGGAGAATGGTTGAAAAATATGAATGTAATTTGTTTTTATGTTTGATTTTACTCGTTTACCTTGCGAAATAAGGAAAATAAAATTTGTGTACAATTTGTTGTGTTTTACTTTTTTTTCTTGAGAAAATGTCTAAAATAGATTTCTTAAGTTTGAAATACCCAATTTCCCCTCTATTTTCCATCTTATCTTCGTTATGTAGCATTTTTGGGTTCTGAACCATTAATAATTTCATTTTCCTTGCTGACTAATATATATATACTCTGTACTTGTGTTCTAATGCCAGCTTTGGGACATCAGAGACTTGACACTTCTTAAAACGTATGTCAGTGAGCGCCCAGTAAATGCAGTTACAATTTCACCATTGCTGGATCATGTATGTAAATACACACTAGTGGTCTCAATGCAATATTTGTTCAATTGCTTTACTTATCAGACAATAAGTGTCAAATTTAAATGCATCTTTCCCAATCTAATGCAAAACTTCTGCTGCTTTTGTTTTCCATTAACTTCTTTGCTGTGCTTCCCTTGCAATGCAGATTGTGCTTGGAGGCGGTCAAGATGCAGTAAGTGTGACCCAGACTGATCATCGTGCTGGGAAGTTTGAGGCTAAATTCTATGATAAGGTAAGCAAATATGAATAGTTCTGGCCTTCTGGGTGTACCACAGAAGTTGGTAGTTGTAGTTACCCCGTAATGAAGCACATGATAAGAGTTTACCTTTCTGGTGTTACTTAGATTCTTCAAGAAGAGATTGGTGGTGTCAAAGGGCACTTTGGACCCATTAATGCTTTGGCTTTCAACCCTGATGGGAGAAGGTGACATTTTCATGTGCTATTAAAATATTGCCATTTATTATGCTTGATTGCAGTCTCTTGAACGAAGTATGGGTGTTAATTAAATTTGTCTTATTGGTTTCAATTTCAAAACTTTCAGTCACTAAGTTCCAAGACAATATTTGGATAAAAGTTTCATATTTTAGTATGGAATTGCTTCATTTAAGAATCAGAAATAATCAGCAAGTCATTGGAGTTAGACAGCTTTTAATCTATAATCTTGTGTTTACCTATAGCTTTTCAAGTGGCGGTGAAGATGGGTATGTGAGATTGCATCATCTTGACGCTGATTACTTTCATATCAAGATTTAAGGATAAAGCGCTGCATGTTGAGGAAATACAGAAGAAGTGTTATGTTGCCAGCTATTGATTGTATTCGTCAATAGATATTACTATCTAATTTGAAGTACATTTTGGAGGTTTTGAAAGACATTGTTTATTTTTTGTTGGTTCTGTTCATGAGTATCTTCAGGCGTAACTTTTTCATTGGTACTCGCTCCGTTTTTCCCATCTCAGTTGGGGTAGGCACTATTCCTAAGACCTTTTCTTTTAACTGGGGAACTGGTTGTATTAAGTATTGACACGTGTTGAGGTTAACTTAAGAAGGGTTATACATCACCCACCGCAACCGTGTGTCACTGGTCTTCCGTGGCCCGGTTACATTTTTCTTTCCTATTATAGATAAATAATACTCCCTCCGTCCCGAAAACAACTTCCCACTTTCCTTAAATGGATGTCTCAAAATTAACTTCACACTTCAATACTTTCCTTTAGGCTTGGACCCGGTTCGGGCACCGAACCGGTTGGGTTAGCGGGTCCGGGCTCGGGTCATGTTTTTGGAGGCCCGGCCGGGTCGGGCCCGGGCCCGGGCCTAACGGTCAGATTTTAAAAAAAAAATTCTTTTTAATTTGAAAAAACCCTTTTGGCTCAATCCCCACTTCCCAAATGGCTATATAGCCGTTGGGGGGTACCAGGGGGGTCTGGGGTGTTTGGGGGTGGGGTGGGGTGGGGGGGTGGGGGTGGTGGGGTTAAAAAAAACCTATAAATACTCCTAATTTTAAACATTTTTTCACACCTCTTCTCCAACTCTCCCTAAATCCTACTTTCTACTCATCTCCAATTCTCCATATTCATCTTCTCAAATTCTCTTATTCTCCTTTATATTTTATTTTACTATTTAATATTTATACAATTATTATATCTATTTATATATTAATTATCTACTTGTAAATACATATACTATATTACATATATTTCTTATCTACTTAATCTCTACTTATATTTCTTAATACATACATACATACTACATCTACTTAATATATACTTTATATAATAAAGTATTAAATATACTTTATAAACTATTACTATATACTTAATACATAATAATATCTACTTCTCTACTTAATAATTTTTATTTTATATATACTTATTTTATAATATCTACTTTTATATATACTTTATAATATCTATTTTATATATACTTATTTTTTTATTTTCCAATCTCCAATTCTCCATTATACTCTAATATTTAATTCTTATACAATTATTATATCCACTTAATACATACATTCTACATCTACTTAATATATACTTTATATATTAAAGTATAAAATATAAGTGTATTACTCATCTTATAGTAGTATACTTATATATTATATACTATAAATATTATATTACTTAATATAACTAGTATTGTACTAGTTAATTAGTTAATTAGCATTCTTGTTACATTTATCATTATAATAGTTAATTAGTTCATTACCATTATTGTTACATTTTTCATTATACTAGTTAATTAGTTTATTAGCATTGTTGTTACATTTGTCATTATACTAGTTAATTAGTTAATTAATTAGCATTGTTGTTACATTTTTCATTATACTAGTTATTTACTTCATTAGTATTCTCATTAATTGTTAAAACAACTCTACTTCAATAAATTAGTTAATTGTCATTAATTCATTATAGTTAAAGTCACATTTTCTTATTTCCAATTTATATTTGTAGGAAGAAATAGTAGTTCAATCATTTAATTAAAGTACTTCACATTTTATTTAAGTAGTTTTTACTAAATTAAAGTACTTCAAAAGTTGGTATAATTTTAATTTTAAAGTCACACATTAATTCTACTTTGCACTAAATTAGTTTGAAGTATTAATTAAAATAGTTTTAATTAGTTGCATTAGTTTTGTATCCATTATTATATTGGTTGTCAATTAATATTTGTTACATTTTTAACATGGAAGGGGGTAGATATTCGGTTGATTTGGGTAACCTCCAACGCAATCGGAGGAACGAGATTGGGAGGAAGAAATCCCGCAAAGGTAAAGAACTTGCCGGTTCTTCATCTCAAAGCCGAGATGATTTTGAAACGGGTTACCAAAGGCGAGATGGAGATGCGATGTCCGAAGAACAACTCCAACAAGAATTGGCCCAACATAATAACCGCTTTCTACAACAACAACAAATGCCGACGACCATTGACGAAGAGGAGCTTGAGGATGAAGATGCGGAGGAATTGCAACCGGAGACGGCCGAGGAGGAGGGTGCCGGCAGCCACGACGCCGACGCGCCTGCCTCATCCCAAACCGCCACCGGTAATAAAAAAAGTAAGTCTGAACTAATGAAAAATAATTTTGATAAATGGAAGGACCCACAAACCGGCTATTGGCACGCAACTTGCAAGTGGTGCAACAACAATTATAGTTTGGGAACCTCCGGCGGATACGGATCCGCCGCAAGGCATCTTAAGGCAAAGCACCCCGTGGAGTATGCAAAATTAGGCGGCGGAACGGGGAAGCAAACTCAAATATCGAGGTTTGCGAATTCTCAACCTTTTGGTAATTTCTCCTACAATGATGCACAAAATTTGACTGGTATGGCTAACTTAATTTGTAAAGAAAATTTGCCTTATTTGTTTTCTGAAAGTCTTGCTTTAAGAGATTATGCACAAGGTAGTTTAAATCCTCAATTTAGAAATTATAGTCGCAAAACTGTTAAGAAAGAAATAATAAGGCTTTATAATGCGGAAAAGGAAAGGTTTCAAAAAAAAAAAAAAAAAAGGAAAGGTTTCAAAAAAAATTTGCAAACTTTGATGGGCGTGTTACTATTTGTTCTGACATATGGGAGGATGATTTTCATCATTTATATTATTTGGGTCTGACTGCACATTATATTGATGAGGATTGGAATATGCATAAACGTGTTCTTGCTTTTCGTGAATTTAATGATCGTCACACCGCTGAACATATTTATATTTTGATTGAGCGTATTTTAATTGAGTATAATTTGATTGATAAGGTGTTTGCTATTGGTTTCGATAATGCTACTAATAATACTGCTGCTATACCTAGATTGCGTGAGTTGTGTGGTGCCAATTCTTTGATGGGTAGATTTTTTCATCAACGCTGTGCATGTCATGTTATAAATTTATGTGTGCAAGACGATTTAAAAGCGTTAGAAGATTCCATGGAGGTAATAAAGGGGGGGATTAGACGTATTTGGGGTAATGGTCAACTTAGATTAAAATGGCAAAGTTATTTGACTAAAAGAGGTGTGGGATATGTTGCTTTTCCTAAAGATTTGAGTATTCGTTGGAATAGTACTTATAAATTACTTAAAGTTGTTCTTAGATATAAAGAACATTTTCCTGCTTTTTTAAAAGAACATGATAACTATATTATAAACGCGGCTGAGATCGACACTTGCGAAAAAATTTGTAATGTTTTGATATATTTTTTTAATGCTACTGAAACTTTTAGTCATGTTTATAAACCTACCGCAAACCAATTTATTCCACAAGCTGTTAATCTCGCCGATGCTTATAAAGAATTTCAAAATGCCGTTTTCGTTCATTATTTTTGTGATCATATGAAGGAAAAGTTTTTAAAATATTATGCGCATATTCCCCATATTTATGGTATTGCATTTATTCTCGATCCTCGTTATAGACTTGCTAATTTGGAAGATTGTTTCAACTTCTATTATCTTGCGTTTTTCGGTGAATTTCCAATGTATGACGATAACCCCATAGATCCGAAAACGAAATACAACGAGTTTAGTACTTTATTTTATGCCTTATTTAATGAGTTTCGTGCACAATATAGCAACGCTCCCCCTCCCCCGTCACGAACATCTTCATCTAAAGGAAAATCGATTTTTAAATCTGCATTTGGCAATCTTATGAAAAAAACTAAAACAACTCACGTCACTGAACAAAGCGCATTGAATGAGATTACTTTGTATTTAACATATGAAGTTGATTTTGAAGAAAATGATGACTTTGACGTTCTAGACTGGTGGAAGTCAAAAGAAAGAACGTTCCCGATTTTAGCACGGATGGCTAAGCAAGTACTATCAATGCCGGTTTCAAAAGTTGCTGTGGAACAAGAATTTAGTTCGGCCGGCAACGTCCTAACGGCATCTAGATCGAGATTGAGCGCGGAGTCTCTTGAGACGCTTATATGCTACCACGATTGGTTGAAGGCCGCACGTAGAACTCAAGAATTGAGCATCACCCCCTCTCAAGATTTTATGGATGACTCAACAATCGATGGTGGCTCTACCTATGCCGGAGATTCCGATTGATTAGTATTTTAGAATTTATTATAAAATGTATTTTATAGCACTTGTCAAATTTATTTATACTTGTACTTCATATTTCAAAATTGTAAACGTGTACTTCATATTTCAAAATTGTAAATTTGTAGTTGTACTTCAAATTAATTTGTAAACTTGTACTTCATATTTCAAATAAATATGTGTTCACTTTTTCATATGTAGCACTTCTCAAATTAATTAATTGGTTACAATCTAACGACAAAAAGTTATTTTTCTAAAATATAAAGTCGGTTTTTAAATTAAAAATACATTTACAATATGTAATTTGTTTAAATACTTATACATCTATTTTGTAACATTTGTAAATTATAAATCAAACCACTTTTCTAAGTACAAATAGTTTTAGTTTTACTTAATTCATTAAATTAATTAATTTATTTTACAATATGTGTATAACTTTAAAAAAAAATTAATTCAGACCTCCCAAACGGCTATATAGCCGTTGGGGCTATGGGTGGGGGGCAGGGGGGTCCCGGGGGTGGTGGTGTGGGGAGTGGGGTTCAAAAACATCTATAAATACATCTATTTTCTAACATTTTTCTACACCTCTTCTCCAATTCTTCTCAAACTCTTCTCCATCTTCATCTTCTCTTATTATCCTACATTCCTACTTATACATATACCATTTTAAATATGGAAAGTACATCTTCCCTTATGCAAAACAATTTTGACAAGTGGAAGGACCCGAAGACCGGACTGTGGTGGGCAACTTGCAGGTGGTGCAAGAAAGACTGTTGCTTGGGCGTTCATACGGATACGGGATGCCAATAAAACATATGAAGTCCTGTGACAAAGGGAAAACAACAACCAACGGTGGCGGAAATCCCAATTGATATTCATTACAAAATGTATTTCGTATTGTTATTTTTTTCTCAATTCTCAAATGTAGTTCTTATTTCAAATAAATGCACTTGAACTTTGTTTTTAATAGCAATTTGTATAATATATAATTAATAAAAAAAAATGTACTGGCCCGGCCCGGCCCGGCGGGTGGCCCGACCCGTGACCCGGGCGGGTGGCCCGGCCCGAACCGGAACCGGTCATTGACCGGGCCGGTCCTGGGCCTACCATTATAGGACCCGAGGCCCGACCGGGCCTTGACCCGGCTCGGGCCCGACCCGGCCCGGGTCCATCACTACTTTCCTTATTTGGCAAATTATCTACATAAAAAAAGTGATAAACAGTGCCAAACAGTGTTTAAACAGTGCCAAACAGTGTTTAAACAGTGCAAAACAGTGTTTAAACAGTGCAAAACAGTGCACTCTACAGTAAAGTCAAATTTATTTCTTAAAAGTGTGTGAAAGTCCAACCGGGAAGTTGTTTTCGGGACGGAGGGAGTACTACCTCTGTCTCATTTATATTGTCTCGTTTTACCTTTTCGGGAAGTTTCACTTAAATTGTCTCATACCAAATTTGGCAAAGTTTGTGTGGTTCTAAATCATTCTTACTTTATTTTTACTTTATCGATTAATATCAACTACACAAAACCACTTTTCTTAATAATCGTGACACCCTCTTCCGTCCCAATATAAATGGGACGGAGGTAGTACTATCTTCCGTTTTCTTTTTTATCGCAATATGTTGAATTCTACATTATTCACAGATTCTACTTTGACTAAATTTTAAGCTATTATTTTTATGAAAATTATTTTTTAAAAAAGATATTGTTCAATTCATCTCATAACAAAGATTCAAAATCTGATTTTTATTTTTTTTTAAGATTAAGATATAATTACGGTCAAAGACGTCCGTTGGCAAATGTGAAATGTTGGCCATTGCAACTAAAAAGAACGGAGGAAGTGAAAATGAAATTAATGAAAATATACTACTTCGATTAAATAATTTTGCATATTAATTTATAGTATTTTTTTATGACTTTTATTTACTACAGAGTAATATTTCAATAAATTATATTTAATATAGCATGTTGAATTTGTCTTATCTACAAAAAGTTGATATATAATGTTTAGTAATGATCAAAATAATATTGCAAATTTGCAATGGATGTGTGGGTGTGTGTACAGATGTTATTAAAAATAATCAAGTGATAAAGTGATATATCAAAGTATTAATAATGGCATACACTAATTTTTTATCAAGTAGTTGACAACTTGACAAGTTATAAAAAAAAACAGAGTACTGTTTTCAAAATTTGAAGTACATATTCCTCCTTTCTAAAAAGATTGGTAAATTTGATTTTTCTTGTTGAATGATTTTAGGTGCCATATTTGTGTGTAACCTATAAATGTTATATTTTTATGAAAGATTTTGAATAAAGAATATGCTCATATAATTTTCATATTTTAAATAACTATGTATGAAGATACACTAGTCAAATTCGATTATCAATGATCAAGAAAGGTCAATCAATGATCAAGAAAGGTCAATTATGCCATATTTTGGAAGACGGAGTAAAAGAAAAATGACAACTTTTGTCAAGTAATCTGTGCTTTAATGACATCATTGTGGTTTTTTCAAAGAAGATGTCATAAGTTTGCAGAACATTTATATGAGGTAATAGTAAGAATTACATTGAAGAATGACAACTTTACATTTATAATGACAACACTAGTTATATAAAGTATGGGTGGATCCGGTCTCGGTCCCCCATGATTGAAGTTCGGAATTGACCCAGTTTTCACGAGTTCTGGTGACTGGTCCGGTCTCGGGTACCCTGTCGGTCCAGGTTTCAGTTCCAGGCCGGTTCGGACAGTTTGACTTTTTTTGTTTTACAAATTGCAAATGTAAGACATTATGGTTTGAGTCCCCAACTATCATCAAATTTACAAATTTATCTCATACTTTCACTTTTATTATAAAAAAAAGACTTAAACTTTAACTTTTCTCACAATTACACTCTCAATGGATGAATTAGCTAGTAAAACTTAAGAAGAAAATCATATTTATATTTCATATTTTTCACTTCTTTCTAGTTTTAATTAGTTTACAAACTTTTATTGCTTATATCTTATTGATATTGATAAAAATATGTAATTTTGGAACATTGAAAAAGAAATGCATAACTATTGAAAAAAATGGAGTTTGAATCTTTCTTTTATAAAAGTCAAAGCATAGGATAAAAAATTGTGAATTTGACCATAATTTGGGATGAACTAAGCTAACAATCCTATAAAAAATCTTTTCTCATATATATACATGCGAGGAAAATGAGCGCATGGGAATGAATTAATATAACGCCATGTCATGCAACAAACAAACAAATAGTAGTAATAAATTGATGAACCAGTACTATACCTGTTTCAACTTAAACTAAATGCCACAGGTGTTTCTAACCTAAAAATCAGCCAACAACATTCTTCAATTTTGACCGACCTGAAACAGGCTAGAGCTAGGAAATTTGGCACTATAAAAACCGACCATAGCTTAGCTTTCCTCTCAGTCCAGGCCAGGCCAATATATATCACCTAGCTACATCTGATTATCTCGTAACCGATCTAGCTAATCAAGATATATCGATTGGATCATATGGAAGGTAAGAAAGGAGGCGGCATGAGGCTATTTATGGCGGCGGCGGCGGCTGTGTTGGTTATATTGTCTGGGCTGCAACCAGCTTCGGCCAACCTGATGAAAGTGGCTTGCATTGGGGTGTGCATGAGAGAATGCAGGACCGCCGGAATTGGGCTTCCCGCCTGCCTCAAGTTCTGTCCCATGCACTGCATTCCGCCGCTCCCTCCGCGCCAAGTTTTCCATTGTAATCTCGAATGTCTTAACCAATGTATCGCCAGTGGTACCATCGGCGCTGGCGGCAGCGATGGCACCAACATCATTTACAGTAACAACAAAAACAATAACAACAACAATAGTAATAACGGTACATCCACCATTTTGCGCTTCAATTATTTCATATATAGTGACTCATCTTAAAATAATTTGCAAAGTCAACTTTTCTTAGTTAGCATAGTTTCAACAATAATTATATTAATTAACCAATGAATAATGAATTACATGTGCAGATGCGGCAGATCAACAGAAGCAGGAAAGTTGTGTGTCGAGCTGCAAAAGTGAGAAATGCGAAACGTCTCCTCCTTAATCACAACCATTGATTAATTAAGTAGCAAGTACGTACGAGACGTAGTTGAAGACCTGCACACAGCTACAAATGCATGTCCTCAGCTCTTCGTTTCTTTAATTAACTCTTTCTAAATTATTATTATTAGGGTTTCTTCCTTTCAAAATAATTATTGTTATTATTACTTATTAATGATGATTTGGGCTTCTCATGCTTGTGGTTAATTAGTTGAGCGTTTGTACTTTCATTTTCATGGATCAAATATATGTGTCTTATGTACGTGCCATTATATATTTGTTTCATATATAGTCATATATACGGAGTGGTATATTAATTAATTGAATTAGCGACTAATCAAAGAGTAATGGGTTTGTGTTTGTATTATTAATTACTATCTCCGTCTTTTAAATCTATGCCAAGTTTGACCGGTTCGGGAATTAATAAAGTAAAAATCGTGTTGTTGATGTTTGTGCCGATGAGAGAGAATGAATTGAAGTCACAATTTTTTTACTTAAAAAAGAAAATGACAAAATTAGTGAGACATCTAAAAAAGAAAAGTTGACAAAGTTTTAAGAGATGACAAGTTTTAAAATTACGGAAAAATTATCAAATAGGTCTCTTTGCTATATCGAAAAAGTCAATTAAATCCTTCAACAATAAGAAAACACTCTATTTTGATTTTTAACCGGTTGGCTGAAAAATTCACCGGTCATAGTTGAAGTTCTACCTCCGGTCCATTTTCCGGCGACAGCGCGCAGCAGCCCCAACCCCCATGCCGTTGCTTACAACCCTTGTCCTCATCTGCACTCGTTGAAGTTCCGCCCTTGTCCATGCCCAGCTATACCTCCTTCTTTTGATTGGATAGGGTGGAAGGAATAAAGAAAAAAGGAAATAGAGAACAAAGAGAAATAACGGATGTTGCAGGCATGGGGCTTGGGCGGAAGAAGACAGCCAAGGAAAGAGAAGGGGAAAAGAAATGGAAAAAAGAAGAAAAATGAAAAATGTGAAAGTTGCCACCTGGATTACCAATGTGTGTAAGTTAACCTCTTAATAATCGGTTGTTTCCGGTTGAAATGTCAAATAGAGTGTTTTTTTTATAGTTGGATGATTTGATGGAATGATTTAATAGTTGGAGGAGTTAATTGACTTTTTCGATACAATACAGGAACATACTCGAAAGAATGACCAGAATAACACGGTGGGCTTCTCCTTGGACAAAAATGAGGCCAACTCTAAAATTGGACAAAAAAGATACTAATTTTTAATAAATGGACCCTTATACCCTTTAATCCAATTCAACTATCCATCTCCCTCGTCGTTTCTTTTTCCTCAATCGCACATCCTCATTCCTCCCTCAATGTTCGTTTCTTCTTCAGCAATGGAGTCACCGCCGATGCGTCTCTATGGCTGACGTCGCGCCCCTCCGCCTTCGTTCCTTCATCTACGTCGCCGCCTCCATTTTAATCTTCTCTTCTTCTATTCCCTTTAGGGTTGTAAACGAATCGAATCGAACCGAATACTTGATAATGTTATTCGTATTCGTATAATTATCGAATATTCGTATTCGTATTCGTTTAAAATTCGAATCTTATTTTGTATTCGTATTCGATTCGTTTGATATATTCGAATCTTTTTCGAATCGAATTCGAATATTCGAATTCAAAAAAACATTAAAGTTAATCTGTGAAAATAATTAAAATTATGATGTTAGTTTGCCCCTTTTAACTCATTTTCATATTACATATTTTATAGGAAAAAAATTTATTTATAGAAGTCACTTCAAATTTAATATCAATATAGATAAATCAACGGAGAATTTTAATTGTAAATTAAGCTATTTTGACCTGGTAAAGTAAGAATGTTTAAATTAAAATATGCAAAATATTTACATGAATATTTTTTTATTAATATTTTTACATTAAACTATAAGTATTCATAAGAAGTAGTATATATTGTATGAATATATATATATATATAATTCGAATATATTTGAATATTATTCGAATCGAATATCATAGTATTTGTATTCGTATTCGTAAAGTATTCGAATAAAAAAATAGATTTGTATTCGTATTCGTATTCTACTTACTCGAATTCGAATCGGCATTTTCGAATTCGAATCACGAATCGAATCAAAATTATTCGATTTGTTTACAACCCTAATTCCCTTTGTCCGATCGTGGCCTACCTAGGATTTGCGGCTATGGTGGCGACACGGCCGTGTGACTAGGGTTCGATGCAGCGGCGCGAATCGGGCCAAGGAGAGCCGATCAGGGTGCGATGTGTCTAGGGAGACCAGACGGCGGTTCCTTTTGCTGCTCTTCTCCGTCGTTGGCCTGTTGCAAGTGTGCGAGGAGCAGCGGCGAGGTGTGGGATGGGGTGCTGCGTTTGTATAGAGGCATAAGAGGGAGATGGGGATGGAAAGGGCTAGTAGGGGGTTGGGGTGGTGTTCTCGATCGGGGCAGGAAATATGGGTGAGGCTTGGGGTTGGGGAATTGGGGACGGTGGTGGTCCACAGCAGTGGCCGGAGGTGGTGGCTCGGAAGTGGTCAGAGGTGGTGGCAGCGGTTGTCCTTATAGGAGCCGGTAATTGTGGTAACTATAAATAGTCAAATTGGGGGCTGCAAGACCGCCGGAGAGGGGATGGGCTGGGGAGGCCGGGAAAGGGGATTTAGTGGAGGGACGAGGTTGGGGCTGGGAGGTGGATGATTAATGGCACTGCACCGCCGGCCTCCGCTGCCAGGGGAGGCAGTAGTTTCATCGGCGGTCGTGGTGGTGGTCACGATCAAGGCAATTGGCCATCGACAAAAAATTGGTAAATGGACGGCGATGTCACTGACCGGTATGTAAAAGTGGGTGGCAAGGTCACTATGGACGGTGATATTAGTCGGCAGGTCACTATAGGTGACGATGTCACTAGTCAGCACGTCACTGTAAGTGGCAATGTTACTTGTCTGAAGTTCACTATGGCGGGTAATAAGGTTGGTCACTATTACCGGGTTAGTCACCGCTCGAGTTGTCACTATGATTTTAGTCACTAACGATTTTGGTCATTAATGGATTTTGGATTTTTGGTCACTGGTGAATTTTGGATTTTTTGTCACTGATGAATTTTGGTCACTGGTGAATTTTGGATTTTGGTCACTAATGATTTTTTGTCACTGGATGAATTTTGTAACTATGCCATTGGTAACTGTAACATTGGTCACTGCACATTTGGTCACTGTGACGAGTCACTGTAGCATGTAAGTGGGTTTGGCCTTAGTAAGGGTGTAATAGTCCCTTAAGTATTATTTAGTCTTATTTTTGGAACTTAAAAGAAAAATCTCTTTTTTTGTCCAAATGCTTTTAATTAGTATTATTTTAGGACAAACCCCAACATACTCCATCCGGTTCTTAATTAAGTTCCTAGTTTGACTTCACACATATTAAGAAATAAAGTTGACTTTACTGTGGTGTGCACTGTTAGGACACTATTTGGCACTATTTGAACACTGTTTGACACTATTTTGGTGTAAATCATTTGCCAAATAAGAAAAAGTTTGAAGTAGGAACTTTAATATGGATCATCCCAAAAAGAAAAGTAGGAACTTAATTACGGGACGGAGGGAGTATTTGAGAGTTTTCCCTAAAATATATATACCCTAAACTTTATGTAATATGATAGTAATTTATTTTCACACCATGATTTGTATGATTGTTTCCAAATATAACCTTATTGTAATAATTACATAATTTAAAATACTCTAAGTTTTTTATGTATTGTAAAATAAATAATATTACATTTCGTACACTTTGAATTCAATAGCATCCTTAGCTCATAAATGTTAGTTTATTTTATATTATGTACTTAACATTATAAAATTAGATTTGTGAAAAAACATGATCATGATGTTATCATAACTTTTTATATAGAATCTGGAGTATATATTATAACGAAGTACGTAGTATGTGCAAGTTTGAGTACTGTTCTACCACCCTTCAAAATTTAGAATATTTAAATTATTTTGCTCAATCATAAAGCATATATACGTCTTACTCCGTATAATCTTATAATTAATTTTAAACGACATGTACCACTAATCAATTCCACCATGCATTCTCCAAAAAAAATCCACCATGTGATTGATCTCCTTTTCGAGATCCCTGAGCAATAATCAATTACCTATGAGTAATAAATAAATAAAAATACCAGGGATTATACATTGAATTAATCGCAAAAATAATACTTGGAAACAATTATTGCTGCCCAAACCCCTTGAACATTCCCAGTAACTTGTGGCAAAATAAAATAAATCAAAACCTTGCCTTAATCTCCTAACCAATTAAAATAATAGCCCACCATCCATATTCCATTTCTAGTATTTACGTAATTCATATCCCCTTATTTAAATAATGCTCCGTAATAATAATAGCCCTCAATCCATTTCCCTAATTAAAATAATACTACCGGACACACAACTTTCCTGCTTCTGTAGCTCAAGTCTTGTTTTATCCACACCACGACTAAAACACTGGAGCGTAAACTCTACATGGTAAAACATAAACTATAAGATGGCTAATATGTCAAATGAATTACTAAATAGAACTTTGTGTGAATAAATTACAAAATCTTTAGTTAGTTGTCAAAAAATAAAAGGAAAGCCGTAGTAGTTAGAAATCGGGTTTGGACTTGTACTAATTGGACGTTTCTCTTGCCGTATAAATATTATTGTCAAATACTACAATTGTGATTGTCCATGGCACTAAAGGTAACTTTATACATCAAACTTTCAATGTTCAATAAGTCGCACTCTTGAACTTCACTACATCATCCCAACATAAAAAAGATGCGGGCCTATTTTTACTTGTCCATCATAAATGGCGGGAAAGTCCTGATGCTGAATCTTTTAAGCCACGCTAGTGCTTGTCCGAGCAATTCTCTGGGCTTCTTCGAGATCCTTCAGAAATCTACACAAGCCAAATGAAAGAATATTCAAAATGAATAGTAAAAGGGGAAAAGAAAAAAAATACTAAAGGGAGCGTTAAAAAGCTATTGACAATGCCAATTAACGCAAAAATGGATTTGTTAGGTTTGCAACTTAGCATGCACCCAAAAAACTATATGATGAACCAAACTTGAATTTCCCTTTATTTGAGATTCACCTCAGATACTCTCATACATCTGTGATGAACATTTGCTTCAGGGTTAAAGACCATAAGTTTATTAGCATGTATGCATGTAGCCTTTGTTTGGTTTGAGGATTTCGGTGGGAAGAGGAGAAGTGATTGAGTTGTTTGCATTTCATTGAGGGGGTTGGTAGAGAGAGGAAAGTGGATAAGCTACAAAATACTAAATTCCCCCAATTTGGATTTTGAAAAGTTAGTATTTCAAATTGTTTCAGCTTTTTTTAGTTACCGAATTATTCTGCATTACTTATCATTATTTATGAACATTATGCAATTTTTCATTACAACAAAAATTATATCAATACAATATTTTTACAGTTTTTTCCTAAGTACTAATTTCTCCTTACTCTTATAGTGCACCAAACACAATGTTCTTTGGAAAAATGGTCAAATAAACTCTTCTACTATTTCCAATCCGTCACTTAAGCCTCTATAGTAAAAAAAGTATCATATAAATACGCCTACTTTACAAAATTGATTAATTTGACCATTTAATCAGTTTTTGACCTGTAACAGTAGGTTTTAAATATATTTAAAAACTCTAAAAAATTGTTAAAATTTGAAGAATTATATACAAAAAATTGTTGAAATTTTCATAATATCAAAGTAAATATTTTTAATTTTTAAAAATATTAGTATATTCTACATCTATTTAAAAGGTTTTTAATTCTTTTTTATTTTAACTTTATTTTTTCAGTTTTCTGATTTTTTTATTTTTTTTATTTTAATGTTTTTAAAATTTTATCTATTCTTACATTTATACTATTTTTTATATTATTATTAGATTATTTTATCTATTATTTTTATTTGAATTTTGTAAGATTTATCAATATTTCTAATTTAATTTTTTAAAAATAACCTGCTATAGCAGGTTAAATGTCTTGATTGATTGATTGTATTTTAAAAGTAAACGTACTTATACGATACTTTTTGCTTAAGTGACGAATTGGAAATAAAATATTAGCCGTCTAATGAATTTGGAGGCAACGGTTCCAAATGGCAAATTGAGGCCCCTAAAATAAGAAAAAATACAAATTTTAACAATGAAATACAAATAGACTAGAAAGTTCAATGAAATATAAGTTTTATGATATTTAAAACACACAAATTAGAGAATCTAAAAGTTATATACCTTTTAGAATCTTGAATAATACATAACATCTAGAAAAATGAACCTATAACTAATACTACATTCTATGTTTTTGGAGGCCCCCGCAAGAGTGGGCCCCGGTGCCAAGCACCTATTGCACCTCCTAAAAGACGGCACTACGTCAAATAGTAGAACTTAATTTGACCCTTTTCCCTTATTCTTTTAACGACCTCCATTTTCATTTGATCCCCTCCATGTACCCTCTTTTGGACCAAGCAAGTGTTTTGTTGAAGAATTATTCATATAGATCAACTAACGGAGTGAGTCGAGTGATTAATAAAACTAACACAATGTTCAGATGAAACTACTACGTATGTTGATGTTAATGGTTGTGGGTGCACAGAGCGAAACTAGCAAATAGAATGCACTTCATAATAACATCACCTCCAAAAATGGAAAGTCAGCAGCATAATGCAATTCCTACGTATCTATGGGGGTGTTTGGATGTGATTCTTAAAATTGCTTCTGCTCTTTCAGAGAACAGAAGCAGAAGTTGGAGTGTTTGGGTGAAAGTGCAGAAGTCATTCTGATACTCTAATTTACTCCTAGAATCAGTTTTTTTAGAAGTTGGGGGAGACCATCTTCTGAAAACTGATTCTGATTCTGATTCTGCTTTAAAAAAGAAGCACAATCAATTCCAAACACCCCCTATATCATTTTAATCGTCACTTTAAATCCTCTATTAAGACTCCACCTTTAGGTTATAAGAAAACGGACCTCCTAGAATTGAGAATTACAGAGCCGCCGAGTATGAAACGAATGCCAGATGCCACAGAATTTTGTAAAGCAACTGCACGTGACTCTTCATACGTAGTCCCTCCAACAATGAAGATTATCACATCATGTGGCCTGAAAAAACACAAGAGAGGAGGTATGAAACACCTTTGGTGTGAAATAAATCTTGTGCCAAAAACCCTATTTTAAAAAAGGAATTCTAGTTCTTCTAGATTTCACTGGGACATCTTCATAACATGCCAAACGACCACTACAAAATGCAAAAACAAATTTAACTCAAGAATTTGATAATGTGGGTTTCTATAAGATAGACATCAGATGTGTGACTGTAAGGGTTTGTAAAATCTTCAAGGCCCTATTTGGTTAAAGGAGTTAGATTGGAAAACAAGAAAGGCTTCTAATTTTGAATTACTATATTCCAATGCTATATAGTAATAGTGATTCCCCTACGAGAAAACATCAAATTTTCAATTGAAACTGATGCGTGTTTCGAGTCTGAGGCTATGACCAAATCCAATTATATCCTTTGGCAAATTAGTGACTCAAGCTATAGGGTTAATTGTCTATGATGTTAAAACAGGACCGCAGGGCGACCCAGAAAAGTTACCGAGTCAAAGGTCAACCCACACTCAGAGAGGGTCAGCCAGGATAACGGCCCAAACCCAATCAATATTTGCTAGAAATAAAATATAAAAAATATGTGTAATTATTAATCAGATTAAATCCGTAAAGGGGGGAAGTATTATGATTTTTAATTTACTACAACAACAACATCCAAGCCTTAGTCCCAAAAGAATTGGGGCCGGCTAACATGAATCGATACATGATATCACCAAAAGGAAAAGAAAGAAAATAAAGATAAAAAAGATAAGCTATTATAAAAAAGATAATATAAAAGAGATGAATATATATATAAATGATAAAATAAAAAAGATAAAAGTAATATTTATATATAAGGATAAAAGGATTAAAAAAATAAGAAAAAAGAGGAGAAAGGATGATACGAGATCACTCCTCCACACGAATACCCGCCCTCCACTTTGTTCTCTCCAAAGTCATACCCTCATCCAATCCAAGAAAAAGCATATCACTTCTCACTCCCCTAACCCACGTCTGTTTGGGTTTTTAATTTACTAATGACAATAAATATCATAAGCATAGAAAATAAAACCGTTGATCTTAACAAAATCAAAATGCATTTAGAATTACATAGACAATAAATATGAATATAACGTGTATTACAAAATATTTAAGAAACGCTATAAGTATTTTTACTTATATTTGGAATTTTGGAATGGTATAATATACATAATTGGAGAATATAATATTAGCAATAATAGGTATTACTATTATTAATTAAGAGCTGATAATAATATTTTAACGTTAACATGTTATACACTAAAGGTATAATACTCGATTACTCCTTCAAGATAAAAAATCACAAACCAACCATAAGCATATCATCGTGTGTGATCAGAGATCGAATACCCCCTACTACCGAATTTGTACTGTCTCTTGAGCTGGGTTACTGGCCGAGTTACAAGTGGATTGTTGGGTTTGGGTGGGTTTAGGCTGATTTGCGGGTTAGACCTCAACCGGCACAGCATTCCAAGTGGGTCGCCAGTTTACTCATGGTTTCAAGACCTTTTTTATTGTATCACAACAACAACATCCAAGTCTTAGTTTCAGAAGAATTTGGATTCGGCTAACATGAATCGGCACATGAAATCGGAGCTAGAGAGATAAGAAAGATAACAAGATAAGATAAAGATAACATAATGATAAAAATGATAAGATAAAAAGAATAAAAAATAAGATAAAAAGCATAATGAGATAAAGAACATAAGAAAAATAAAGAAGATAAAAAGATCATCATCATCATTACCCCAGTGCCGCAAAGGCTCCCACCTATGGTGGGGTAAGGGGGGTCGGATGTACACAGTCTTACCCCTGTACTAAAGTACAAAGAGACTATTTCTGGATGACCATAGTGAAAATCGCGTCGAAAATCCTCCGCACAAATATTCTTACTCCACTTCGTTGTCTCCAAAATCATACTCTCATCCAATCCAAGAAGAAGCATATCACCCATTACTCCTCTAATTCACATTTGTTTGGGCCTTTCTCTCCCTCTCCTCTCTGTCTCTTCTCCCCATCTTTCAACTCATTTAGCAGGTTATCACTCGATCTTCTACACTCACCTTTTGTTGGGTTGTTTCATTCCTCAAGCGGTCTTTTCTAGTATGTCCACACATCTAACATAACATGCACATCTCAGTTGGTCATACTCATCATTTGAATATGACACTGTTTCACCGCCCAACACCTTACGTCATACAGTAATGTAGGCCTAATTGTTGTCCGATAAAACTTACCCTTCAATCTAGTCTGCATAGCTCGATTGCATAGAAATCCTGAAGCCCTCTTCCATTTTATCCTTCTTGTTCTGATTATATGGGATACATCTCCATTTAGTTCACCATCCTTCTGAATTATGGATCCCCAAGTAACAAGACATATCAATGAACAGTATCTCCTTACCATCTACCATCTAGGGTATCTCCTTACCTCCACAAAATTCACTTCATATACTTAGGCTTGCTTTCATATACTTAGGCTTGCTTTTGACTCAAACTGAAACCCTTGTTCTCCAAAGTTTGTCGACCGTTCTTAATTGTATTAAGACAATTTATTTAAAATAGTTTTAAAATGTTTTTAGGTTGAAGGGTCATAAGTGGAACAACATATCACGGATAATAACTTAGTGTCAAATAAAAAATTCTAGTGGCCAACCTGCCTTGCTGATAGTGATTCCCAACAAGAGGGTAGTCAACATCTCTTAATCGCCCTTTAGTAATGCTCTCCATAGTTTGGAATAGAAGAGGCTGATGCTGGGTGTAAACATTCTCAACGCCCTATAACAATAATCACGAAAGCAAATTATCAGCACCATAGATTCCCATTTGTGTACAAAGTATCATAACTGAGGAGCAAACAATAATGGATGCTCATACAAACCTTAAGTCCACGGGCCATATTTCTTGCAATATTTAGGAGATCCCTGTTTCCATAGAGATCCCCAGTTCTTTTATCGACTCCAGCTTGCTTTAGTAGAAACTGCACAAGCTGTAAATTCAAAACAGAGAAATCAATAATAATATTTATGGATTATTTTGTTAACATATCATTGAGAATTACATTCAGCTCAAAATTATCAATAAGTCACAGACCACAAGAGGAGGTCTCATTAAAACAGAATGCAATACACCCCTAATTGTGATTACAGAGCATTATTTTTTTTACATTCATAACCAAAAAGTATGTTTTTCTTTTTTTACTAGCAGTGTGTTTGTGAAAGCTTTGTGTCAGGTTTAAAATGGAATCATTGCATAAGAAAAGGTCAATCCTTTCTAAAGAACTCTCCTGAATGCTTTCACAGAGTAATACCTAAATGCCTGGTTTCCTTTAAAAATCAATAGTTTGATACAACTAAAACAAATGATATTAGGAATAAAATAAAGTTGAAATATAATAATGGGATAGCTTCATTACCCCAGGTTTGTACTTGGCCGAACCAGAAGCCAATTTGTTAAACAACTGCATAAGTTGAACAGGGCTTTCTTTCTCATAGCGCAATGCATACAGCATGACCAGCCGTAACCGGTCAATATCAGAAATACTTTCATTGTTTAGCAGATTAGTTACAGCCTGTATATAAGCATGTGTGAGAACATACAGTAGCCACTTTTGTATATCTTTGAGGTTAAATTGCTGTTCGTTTTTACTATTTTCAACAAATGCAAAATGATCAATGGACAACAAGCATAATTAGTTCTTGAAGTAATATGTAAACATCATTGTTGCCAACATACTGGCAGCATTAGGCATATTCATCGCATCACACTTGTTTTGTTCACAGATATTGTCTCAACTCTGGAGCCGAGATATATGCCTAGCACTATTAATATTTTCTCCATAACCCATATGAGATAAAGAATACATACTTTTGGTACTGACTCACACCTAACAGACTAACAATTAATTTATTATCTCCACCAATTCTTCCACAAGTGGATTTAAAGTGTGCACATGAAGAGATCAAGATGTACTAGACACAGGTGGAAGAAATAAATCCCTTGATGAAAAATGCTGAAGAACTCAGACATTTAATTTCCTTTAGAATCACATTAACTAATACTACAGAGTATAGCTTTTTCTCATGAGTCATCAACATCATAAGACATTCCCAAACAAGGATTCAGATCAAGTGTCCTACCAGGTAATAC